ATATATATACATATATACAAAAAATTTTCATATGAGTGAATTCTGAAACATTCTAATTTCTAACATTTCTAACATTTCTAAGATTTCTCATTCTATAATTTCTACGAAATCTTATAAAATCTGAAAAAGTTTAAGATATATTTCAGAAACTGTAGAATGAGAAATTTTTAAAATTTTTTAATGTCAGAATTTACATATATGAAAAATTTTTAAATTGGGATAACTTTCTTATAAAGGATTAGTGCTTGACTAAGACTTTCTTCTTATTTCTAAAAAAAAAAAATGTTCTAATTCGTAAAAATTCTGAGAAAAATTTTTCATTAAGGATTTCTGGATTTATTCGTTCATTTTAGATTCCAGATGCTGCAGCTGGAGGCAGAAATATTACAACATACGTACGATCAGGAATTGTAGTTGAGACTGGGTGGCGTGCAGATGCGGTGGCTATATAAGGATCAAGAGATCTTCATGATCAACACTCCAATATCAGACGGCGGAGAGTATTTCATCATGTGATATGTAAACAAACACTCGCCGGAATTTACTACGCGCCACGGTTTTAAAATTGCCTTGACTGGAATTCACCTCGCTGAACACATTATTACACCAAGAAACGCTTGAGCTGCTGCGATTTATATTCACACATATATTCAGGACCGAATAAACTCGCTCGAAGATTTTCAGAGGATTGATTGTGGATTTTGAAAGGAGATGAAAATTACAAAAGTGGGCAAAGATTACTAGATATTGACCAATTAAATTGTGAATATTCTAGTGAATTTGCTCACTTTTGTAATTTTTATTTCATTTGAAGATACACAATCGACCCCCTGAAAAAAGGAGCCGAATATTCTTCACCGATCCATTTGACCTCTATTCAAAAGAAAATTTTTGGTTTTTTCAAAGAAAAGTTATAGAAACAAAGATTGAGACCTAATGAATGACGTAAAAAACAAACTCTTGAATGCATCAATCTAAAAGTAAATGCCAGATTGGCTCTATTAATCTCAGGAAGATTTCCAGCGCCACCCGACCGCATTCTATATTACCGCGTTCTATATTGAAGGTCAGCACCAGTTTTCTCAATAAGTCTTCGTATTTGCAAGTGAACCCTGATCTGACTTCCAGCATTAAAAATCTAAATCCTGCTTCTGTATACAAGGATATCGTGATTGTGCATTGAGTCTCTGTAAGTAGGTATTTTTAAATTTTATTATTATACTAGCAAAACTTCTGATCTTACTAAAAATTCTTCTTTATAAAAATACGGTTTCACTTAACTGTATTAATCTTACAATTGCTAACATTACTTCCTAATCTTAGCGATTTAATGTCAAATTATGGCAATTATAGCATAAATATATCTCCTTTAATGGAGATAAATTTATTAACATCAATGTTTTCGCATTACCTCCCAAAGAAGGCTTCAATAAATGAGTCAACTTAGAATCTCTGTAAAGAATATGTTTTTGTTTTTTTAGAAGTGCTACTAAGACAGACTAAAGATGTATTAATACTTTTTAATTCTAGCAATCTATAATATCTTCATTCTTGTTGGGATCCTGCTACATCGACTAAATTCATTTTTCTTTTAGTTGCTCTTATTTTATAGTATGTGTACCAGTGATTTGAGCTTTTATTATTAAATATGCTCTAGATAATTTACAATATAAACTATTATATATTCCAAATTAAATTCTATGTTAAATTATAAAAACTCAAGTAGGACAATTTTTTTTATTTATATATTTTTTAAATTTATATATGATAAAAATCTAAGTGATATATTACGTTTCTTTTGCATTAGATCTATGTAAGACATAAAAAATGGATTTTCTTTGAAAGTTTGAAACATTTGTGTTGTTTTAATATTCTCCAGATCTTCCGAATCTAGACATATATAGAATATATGAATATAGAATATAGAATATGTTTAAAATCTGAATGAATCTTCTACTTAAAAAATTTTATATATTTTGCGAATCTGTACATATCTGTAGTTTATTCCTATTTGATCACGTAATATAATATTTATTTAATACAGTACAATTATTGAATATGTAATAATGCTATAAACCTTAAACATTTTTTTTTTAATTTAATGATAAATGAAATAATATTCACTTTTTTCCATGAATTATTGTTCCGGAAAATATTTCAAGAGAGGTTGTAAAAGTTTTTTTAAGATCATTTTTTTATACACTAAAAAAAAGTACAAAAAAAGTACACTAAAAATTTGGGAAAAATTTTACACACACTCGCACATATGAACGCGCGCACGAAAGCACATACACATGCGTACATATATATATACATATATATACATATTATATATATATAACACACACACACACACACACACACACACGCACGCCCGCACGCACGCACGCCCGCACACACGCGCGCACGCACACACACACACACACACACACACACACACACACACACACACACACACACACACACACACACACACACACACACAATGACGTTTCGAGTAGTCAAACTCTATATAGTTCATATTGAAAAAAATTACAACCATAATTTAAATTAATGACAACGGTATCTTAAATTTGGGATAAAAATCAGAGAAAAATTATCGTATCGATAAAAAAGCGATTTAAAAATAAAATTTTTTCCCGTACGTGTTGTCCGATTAAATCATTAATTTGATTCATGCCGTACATCATTGCAAACTTGGACTTTTAATTATCAATTTTGTATTTTATTATCTTGTCGTTTTGAAAATAATGTACAATAGTACAAATCTCATTCAAATATTCTTAAAGTAGACAATCTTCATTTTTTAAACATATTTTATATTCATTATTTAGGTATCAAGTTATATCATTTGATAAAATTTTCCTAAATTTTTATTGCTTTTTCAAGAAGTGTATTTAAAACATATTCTATAAA